TAAAAGGATAGTTTTGGTTTATTTAAACTTGGGTCTTATTTAGCAGTCTCCCCACCAAAGTAACTCCTGAGATCGCAGGAATGCAGCGACATTATGACAATGTGAACCCAGGAATACTGTGTTTTGACAGGTATGGTAATATTGGTAGAACAGACAGGTGCAACAGACAGTTTGGGTAAAATGTTGCCATTTGCTTCATCAGATCAACAAGTTAGCCGGCCCCAGGGCAAACAATTGATTACCTATCAGAGACCAACCAGTGCTGGAATACTTCTACCTGGCCCCTGGTTTTCTCTGTATTGGTTACTTTGTGGCAATTTGATCAAAGAGAACTTTATTTAGAAATAAAATAATAATAAATATTATTGCACAAAAGCTGAGGTAGGTTGCTAGGTGGAACAAACAAAAAAACTTAAAACTTAAATTAAAAAAAGGTATTTCTGTACATTGACTCTACCTGTACAGCTGCCTCGATCTTTTGATTGACAATCTGAGATGCTGGCAGTTGTTCAAATGTGTGGAACCAGGCAACTTCTACATGACAGGGCCACAGGTTTAGATAATAAGACAGCAGCCACCACACCTGATTCTGACCTTTAGTGGTGCCTAACAGGTTTGCAATTAATTCAATTATCAAAACCATCTGGCATACACTAAACCTTGGATTTTTAGGGGCTTTTGCCTGCTTTGGTCAATTGGTTTGGTAATCAAACTTTGCATGCTGGACTTGTTTTACTGATGTCACTGCATTTTGTAGACCCAGGTTGCAATAAACTGTGACTATCCTTCAAGCACTTCTCCTTTGTCATATCGTCTTCTTCTGTTTGTGCACCCAACCTTTACTTTCCTACTCTCCTCATTATACTCCTTGTCTTCTTGCTCTTCTTCTCCTTCATGCCTGCCTGCCTTCTCTTATCTCTTCCCTTCCTTGCATCAAATATTACCTCCTCTCTATCCTCCTCCATCTCACTTTCTCTTCTACTTTCTTCTCTCAATCCCA